GAGAATAGATACCAGGAGGTTATGGGAAGGTAGGGGAAGAAAGGGGAAAATGATCACAGGGACCAACATATAATCCCCTTCCAGAGGGGCGAACAACAGAAAAGTGGGTGAAGGGAGACAGCAGATGATGTAAGATATGAAAATAATAATTTATCAAGGGTTTATGAGGCAGGAAGGGTGGGGGAGGGAGGGGAAAATGAGGTGGCACTGTTACCAAGGGTTCAAGTAGAAAGAAAATGCTTTGAAAATTATGATGGTAACAAATGTACTAATGTGCTTGATACAATGGATGAATGTATTGATTGTGATAAGAGTTGTAAGAGCCCCCAATAAAAGTATTTAATCAAAAAATAGAAAGGAAAAAGATAATTAGCAAAGAAAAACATGTTCTACAAGTCCAACTTGTTGCTCAGTGCTGTTGAGTCAGTGTGTCTCATACTGACTCTATGTACAATGGATGGAAACACTGCCAAGTCCTGTGCCATGCATGTGAAAGTTGGACATTTAATAAGGAATATGGAAGAAGAATTGATACATTTGAATTGTGGTGCTGGAGAAGTATGTTGAAAGTACCATGGAATGCTAAAAGGACAAACCATTCTCTGTCTTGGAAGAAACACAGCCAGAGTGCTCCTTAGAGGCAAAGATGGTGAGACTTCATCTTATATCCTTTGGACATGTTGCCAGGAGAGACCAGTCCCTGGAGAAGGACATTATGCCTGGTAAAGTGGAGGGGCGGTGAAAAAGAGGAAGATCCTCACGGCGATGGATTGACATAGTGGCTGTAACAATGGGCTCAGGCACAGGAACAATTTGAGAATGAACCAGGACAGTGCTGTTTCCTTCTGTTGTCTATGGGGTCGCTATGGGTCAGAATGGATTCAATGGTACCTAACAATAATGGGCTCTGGACAGAATTGTCATTATTCAATTAGAATGGTGCTTTGAATCATATGATTGCTTTTCTAGGAGCTACAAACACGCACGGTTTGGGGTTTTTTCATTGTTGTTTAATGTCTCTGATTTTGGTCATATTTTTTAAATAAAGCAGTAATTGAAAAGAGAAAAAATTTTAAGCTTCCACTAAGATGCGAATAATGTTATAATTCAACGTAGGAGGCTTTTACAAAACAATTTTTAGTAATTCATATAATGAAAACAATACATTTAAGCAATGTTTTAACAGTTACAATTTCGGAAACCCACAAAGGCAGTTCTATCCTGTCCTGCGGGGTCGCTGTGAGTCAGAATTGACTCAAATGGCAGTGACTTCTCTTCCTGCGAGTAAGGAAGGGCCCTCCCGGCAGAAGCCTCCGGTGCCGTGTTACAAACAGGATCGGCTCCGTTTCCTTTGTAGGTGCGTGTGGAGCCCTGTGGGCCCTGTCTGGTACACGTTGGACTGCTAACCTCAAAGCCAGTAGTTCTAACCCTCCAGTGGTCCCGAGGCTCTCTGCTCCCGTAAAATACGTGGTGCAGTCCCTTCGCCCCGGGAGCTGGGGGGCGGGGGGACGGGCATGGCGCAGAGTCAGAATCCACTCAGGGGCCTTGAGTTTATGGCGGCAGAAGGACAAGGGATTTCGGATTTCTCGCAGAAACCATGATCCAGTGAGACCGGGTAAGCACTGGATCTGGGGACCAGGAAGCATGGAGTGAGCACACTTCAATATGTCCAACTCGCCGCTCGCGCCCGGAGAACCCGGCCACGTGACCCGTCCAACCTGCGCCTGCGCAGTGTGCGCAGCGGAGTGGCCCAGTGGATGCCGGGAAAACCCTGCACTGCGGGTCCTTTTGCTTCTATAGCCTTGGTTCCTGATCACGTGTTACCTCGGGAACGGCTGCATGTCGACGAAATGACTCTGCATTCTTTTTTCTCATGCGGCCGCTCTTCCGTACCCGTCTCCGTAACTCCCATCGAATGACTGGGTGGGACTATGCAGATAGGAACATGGAACACTCATAGAGGCAGGGCATTGGTTCATTTTAGTTGCTTCTCCCCTGGCCGTTAGAATGAGCCCTCTCTGCTGGAGGAGAGAGACATCCCCGAGCTATCAGAAGGGGAGTGTGACGTGGCCGTGGTCAGTTCAGCTCTAACATGGCAGGAGCAGTTGCCCTTCTCACTGTAGAGCTTTTACAAGTGTGCAAACCCGAGCAAGAGGAATACATGGTCTAGCACTGGGTTCGAACTGCAGCCTCGGGGTGCAGAGGAAGCCAGCACCGAAGGAGATTCTTTCTCAAAGTTCAGAGAGGAGTGTTGATATGCTGGGAGGGTAAATGCTTAGAGAAACACGAAAATTTCGTGTAGCCAAATATTGTTATGAATCGATAGCTTGGAATCAAGCAGTGTCAGAAGACATTCTGAAGAGGGGACACTGCCGAAACGATGCAGGTTTTACGGGCATAGGCCAATGGCGCGTCCACTTCGTAGGAGATAGCTTCAGATTTCATGCAGCATTCCAGACAGTTGGGAAATCAGCTTCACGAAGGACACGTCACGCATTTTCCAGTTAGAGCCTGAGATCCTAGGTTGTGCAAACAGCCCGCATTTAGGTAATTTTCTACCAGCGCCTAATGCCCAAGGTAAAACCATCTCTGCTAAGGTGCTATTGTTTGACTTAAGGGTGATGTTAGGAGAACAATTCTTTAATGGCTCAAAGGACACCTAAGGGCAGACTGGGTCAACCCAATTCTATGAACCCAGAAATTTGGATTCCGGGATAATCAGAATGATTTTTGTCACACCACACTTCGTCAAAAAAAAAAAAATAATAATCACCCTCTGCAGGCTGATCAACTCCCCCCCTTGCGCCCCAACCCCTTCTTCTTCTTCTTGGGCTATGCTTTGGCAATCCATCATTGGGGGTTCACTGAGGGATGGTGTAGGCCACGGGGCCCTGCCTCCTTTATCAGCATGTTCAGGTCTCCAAGACAGCAGAATCCTGGGGGTTGGGGAAGCAGTCAAGGGTGGAAGAGGCGGCTGGGAGTTAGGGTCCCAGGTTGCAGTCCTGCTGTCTGTAGCCCTGAATAAGCCATCGGCTCCTAGCTGTGTGATCCCTGGCTTACCTCAAGATCAGGAGGGGCGGGCGGAGCTTGTCCTAGATAAAGATCACTTGGGACTGAACGCAGACAGTGTCAATGTACTGTGACCTTTCCTAGGTTACCTAACTCTTGGGTCTCTGTACCACTTGGAGATAGCCCCTGGGCACACAGCAAGCGCCCAATAGATGCTAGTCAATACCATTCCATCTGCCCTGGCAGAGCCTCGGGATCCACGCGGCATCTTGCAAAGACAGCAGGGGCACCGAGCAGCCCCGCCAGGGCCCTCCACCCAGGGCCCCAGGGTTGGGGGCGGTCTGTCGCGACAACTGCAGTGCATTGTGGGGCTTGTAGTGTGGGGGCTGGGGGTGGGTAGGTGGGCGCGGCAGACGCAGCGGGGCCATCTTCGGCTGGCTGGCTCGGCCGGAGCTGCCTGCACCCCTCGCCTGGCCTCATGGCGCCACGGCCTCTGGGCCCCCTGGTGCTGGCACTGGGCGGCGCCACGGCGGTGCTCGGCTCCGTGCTCTTCATCCTGTGGAAGGTTTACTTCGGCCGCGATCGGGAGCAGCGCTGGGACGGGAGCGAGGCCTGGTGGGGTGCGGACCCTGTCCACCTACCCGAGTGGGACGTGAGTGCGGAGCTGGGAGTCTGGGAGCGGCTGGCCGGCGGCCTGGGGCCCGGGCCTTTGTGTGTGTGTGTGTGTGTGGCTGCGCCCCTGTGAGCGCCGGTGTCGCCCGGCTCGGGGACTTAGAAAAAAAAATCCACAGTAAAGCTTTAAAAACTAAAGACCGAAAAACATTGAAACTAGCAGCCAGCCAAATGATATTGCCTATAGTGGGGGGTGGGGGCGGGGAGGAAAGGACAATGGATTCTGGATTTGGGATTTCTCATCAGAAATCATGAATAATGATAGCGCGGCCTCCAGAGGCCACATGCACATAGCGGCCATACGAGCGTTGGGTCTGGGAACCGAGGACTGGGTGACCACGCGTCAGCCCGCCGTCCCCGCCAGCCGGTGGCCTCTGGCGCGCTGGGAAGCATGGAGGCGCGTCCACGCGTCCATCCCCGGGCCCGCGCAGCTCCAGCCCGCGCCCGCCCGGCGCCTGCGCAGTGCGCGCGGCCGGCCCCGCCGCCCGGAGAATGCCGGGAAAAGCCCGCCGTGCTCCTCGTGGGCAGCGTGGCGCGCTTGTACATCTCTTGCTGCCCTGGGATGTGGCGATTGTTAGTCTTGAGAAAGCGGAAGCTGACGGAGGCCCGGGATTTGCCTTGATTTACTCAGATTTAACCGTGAGTGGGATTTGGAAGTCAGAACTCCAAACGCAGTGCTCTTCCCACGGCCCTGCCGCCTGCCCATGAATGAGTGGAGGGTGGATCGGGTTGGTGGGTGCCCTCGGCCTTCGCTCGGGAAGGGCTGGCGGGAGGATGCCTACCGCAGCCTGACCTCTGTCCTGCAGCCCGAGGATGAGGACGAGGAGGATCCGGTGCTGGAGGAGCTGGAGCAGCGCGAGGTGCTAGTGCTGGGACTGGACGGCTCCGGGAAGAGCACGTTCCTGCGCGTGCTGGCAGGGAAGCCGCCGCTGGACGGCCACGTCCCCACCTGGGGCTTCAACTCCGTGCGGCTGCCCACCAAGAACTTCGAGGTGGACCTGCTAGAGAGTGAGCTGATTTCCACCCCTTCCCGTCCCATCTCCGCCGGCCTGGGATGGCGTGTAGGGCCCTTTGTGATCCCGCACATCCCACGGCGTCCCCTGGCCTCAGACTCAGCTGAAACTGTCGAAATACTAGTAATACCGTGTGCCACGCACAAGAGATGGCGATGACCTCTTGTCATACACGCGAGGAAACAGCCCCAGCAAACTAAAGCATTTCTCCAGGGTCACACGGGTGCTGAGTGGGGGAACCCAGGCTGACGGTCAGGCTTCTGGCTTTGAAGACCTGCTGTCAAGTAAGCTTGGGCTGCAGGCTCATCTGTTCAAACCGCAGCCGTTCTGTGGGAGAAAGATCTACAGCCTCAGAAAACCCAGATGGGTATCTCTGAGTCAGAAGGGACTCCAGGCAATCGGCTGGTTTGGGTTCCATTCTAAACCCCACCCCTCCCCCCAGTTCACCCCACGTGGGCACTTCCTTGTTCTGAGGGTGGGCGGGGCTTACAGTTCTTACTTCCTGTCCTTTGTGCGGGACTTCCTTCCTACAGGAAAGGCCTTCCTGTGATAAACTACCTTCAGGATTTAGATTACCCATCAGGCCCTGGCTGGGGGAGGGGCTCCTCTGCTGAGCCCTGGAGCCACATGCAAGCTGACTAGGCTGTGGCACCCGAGGCACCAACGGTTGTGACCCATCTCAGGGCCCTTGACACTGATCTTCAGAGGATTTGTGTGCCATCAGGGAGGGTCTGTACAGCAGCGCCCCCCACCCCTGCGCGCGCTCAGTCCTAGGGCTGCTTGGACTCTGGAAGGAGGATGGCAGGCGCATGGTTCTGTCAGCTCAGGCACCAGCGGACTCCTGTCTCCCAGAGCACTCAGACTAGTAAGACCACCTGGGCTTTGTTGTCAGGCCCAAATGGGCCCCCTCATCTGCCCTCAGACACTGCCTGCTCCCTTTCTGGGTGGGGGTGGGGAACTTGATGGTCACCTGGGCATCTGGGACTTTCAACAAGTGGGCCTTTACCCAGTACCCTTTCTGTGGTCCAGCGAGGCCTGCCCTTACGGCCCTGTCTTTCTTGATAGTCCTGGCAGGAGGGGGTGGGTGGTTAGTTTGTTTTTTAACCCAGCAATTTGAGTCAAGTTCTGAGGTACCCCCACCACAAGCCTCAATTCCCTGGGGCACTCTACAGCACTCCGCCTGGGGCCCTTTGTGGGGAAATGGTGTATTACCAGTTCTGTCAGCTTTATCCTCCAGCAGGTTCCAAAAATGCCTGCTTCTCCCTCCGCTACCCACTGGCTCCCCGCCCAAGCCACCATCATCTCCCTTCAATCCTGCAGCAGCCTTAGCCTCCTCCGCTCTGCCTGCTTCCATCTCTTCCCCAGTGCCAGCAGAGGGATCGCCCAGGAACTCACTCAGATCGCATCACTCTAAACCGAAATGCCACACCCTCCCAAGCCCACCTGCCTTGTGTAGATCAGCCACGGATGACCTCCCTACAGCTGGGTCCTCACCATCCCAGGCTCAGCACCCCTGCCAGCATCCTTGGGGAGACCTTCCCAGACCACCCTGCCCAGCACGTCGCTCTTTCTGTTCTCTTTCCTCCCTTTCTGGACGGTGTTCACGAGTTACTGCCTTGTCCTCCCCGACCAGGGAGGACGTGCCTGGAGAGCAGGGCCCCCACCCGCCTTGCTCGCCTCTGCATCTCCGCACCCACCCAGGTCAGTGCTTAGCACCGAGTAAGCACTCAGTAAGTACTTGGTGAGTGCTTGCTGGGTGCCAGGCACTGTGTTGGGGGCTTTGAGGGGATCCAGAGGGTAAACCGGCTCGACCTACCTCTCAAAGGACTTAGAATCCACAAAGTCAGAGGTGGAAGTCAAACCATCGTGCTGCCACAGACCAGTGTGGGTGACTGCTGGGGACTGGGCAGAGAGGCAGATGGGACCGGGCCGAGGGCACTGTGTGGGTGACCCGAGCATGGCATTGACGAAGGAAGAGAATGGGGTGGCTGGCTGGAGGGCAAATGAGTGTGGAGGCTGGGTCTGGGCTGGGGTGGTCTCGACTTCTGGTCATAGCCATCGCTGACCGGGGAGGAAGCTAGCTCGAGAGGGAAGGAAGGAGAGACGAGAGAACTGGGAGCACCTCTTGTTGAGCAGTTACAACATGCTACTCCTGTGACAAGTGCATTGCATACGGTCCCCTTGGACTTCACTGAGGAGGAGACTGGTGCTTGAAGGCAGGCACCGGTCCAAGGAGAGTCTTCGGGCATCACTAAAGCTGAACCCACGTCTGCCTGGCACTGGAGCTAGTGGCCTTTATGCCCCTGGCTGGGGGGATGCTGCAGGCAGTGGGATGAGCCTGGGACTGTGTGTGGCAAATCAGGGCCCAGGGCGGCTCTGAGCTGGCCCCTGGCCTCTCCACAGTCGGTGGCAGCCAAAACCTGCGCTTTTACTGGAAGGAGTTTGTGAATGAGGTGGACGTGCTGGTGTTTGTGGTGGACTCGGCTGACCGGCAGCGTCTGCAGTGGGCCCGGCAGGAGCTACACAAGCTGCTGGACAAGGACCCCGACCTGCCTGTCGTCGTGGTGGCTAACAAGCAGGTGAGGGCCTCAGGGAGGCCGGCTTAGGCCAGAGGGCGGGCTTCTCCCCAGATGCAGATGGCTGGGCGGGGCAGAGAGCACTTGGGGTTCAGGCCTGGGGAGCCTGCTGAAAGACTGTCCCGGAGCTTCTGTCCACTCGGTTTCTGTATCATCTGTCCCCACTAAGCTCCTGTGTGCCAAGTGGGCCAGTGGGTGGCTTAGCAAACGGTTGAGCAACTAACTGAACGGTTTGAGATTCAAGTCCAGAGGTGCCTGGAAAGAAAGGCCCAGAAATGCACTGTGAGCTGCCGGCCATCGCACACTCAGGAACACAGGTCGCCCCAGTCAGGTGTGAATGACATTATGTGTTCCAGTCCACCCTGCAGGGCACAGGAGATGATTTCCATTTTACAGGTGGGAATCCTGAAGCTCAGAAAGGGTTTGCAGGCTCCCCAAGGTCCCACAGTTTGGCAGTGACAGAATGGAGGTGGCTGACTCCAAAGCCAGTGTCTTTTCTCTTCTGTGCCCGTGTGAAGGAGCCCTAGTGGTGCAGAGATTACATGATGGGCTCTGCTAACCGCAAGGTCAGCAGTTTGAAACCACCAGCTGCTCTGGGATAAAAAACGAGGCTTTGTACTCCCACAAAGAGTTAGTATCACAAACCCACAGGTGCAATTCTGCCCTGACTTCCAAGGTCGCTGTGAGTTGTCATTGACACCGTGGCAGTGTGTTGGGTTTGGTTTTGTGGCTTCTGACTAGACAAGACAGCCAACTCTGGGAAGTGCTAACAGCGTGCCAGGCATAGTGCATGTGGCAATAATTTCTTTGATAAGAATGAATATCAAACTAATCCCAGGAAGCCTGAGATTGAAAAAAATCCCCAAAGTCCAACTCTTTCAAGATGCTAGTCTGCGCCATTTCCCCCCGCCCATCCCTTGAGTCTATTTCCTCACGTCTCTGGGCTCTGGGAAGTGCTCCAGGGCCCCAGAACTCACCAAAGTCTGAGGGGATGTTTCAGTGGTGGGTGCTGCTCAGTCAAAGCTCCGAATGTCAGATGGGAAAGCCAGATGCCGGGGTCAGAGGAGACGGCTCCACTCCTGGGCTCTTGCCAGTGGTAAGATCCCATCCCCTGCTTCTCAGAGGGCTCATTTTATACACAGCAGGCTGGCATTACCCAGAATCCTGTTGACAAATTACTCACAGGTGAATACTATCCGTATCTACCTCTACCCCCATGTAGGGGGGAAGGTGTTCGGTGGTCGTTAGAGACTTGGGCTAGAAGAGCCTCATTAACCAGGCCACTGCCCCTGCAGTGCTGCGCACCTGGCAGTCGTCCCCTCAGCCAAGCCCTCTGGGGAGGCCACGAAAGGGCCTGCTTTGCAGACCCTGTGACCTGAAGAAGTGCCTACAGCGATAGAAAATTTGTGGTGAAGCCAGAACTAAGAGTGCGGGGCTTCTCCACGCCCTCTCCGTGGGCCAGGGTGCTGCCCTAACCCCGCAGCCTCAGTATCACAGGCCTGCGGTGCATTCCCAGCCACCACCTGTGTGATGGCTGCGGGCTAGCCCTGGGTCTGCGCCGCGGGGGAGGTTAGGTATCTCTTCTCTGTGTGTCAGGGAAAGACCTGGCGGCCAGTTGAAAATGGGGACCCTGTGTCCTGTGGGCCCAGGATGGTCCTGTTTGTGCCACTGTCCAGCTAGATTCGTGGTCCCCATTTGAGTCTCAGAAGGGCCTGGGTTAGACAGTTAAGTTATATCATCCTGTTTATAAAATACAAAGGAACTTTGAAAATGGGATGAAAAAGTAATGGAATTTTTCCACGAACTTTTTAAAGCCCCTTTGTATACCTTAAAACAATTTTGAACCAATGTGGGGCCATATGAAAGGTCCCAGCACTCTCTAAATTAATCCGATGATTCATTTTAATTAGAGTATAAAACATCCTTTCCTGCCTTGCTGTATAACCCACTGCCATTGAACTGATTAGATAACTAGACCCCAAAGCCCCAAAGGACAGTCAGACTGCTCCATTGGATTCCTGTGAGTGACTGTTTTAGGGAGCAGGCAGCTGCCTCTTTGTCCTGAGGACCGATCAGGGTTAGTAGCCCGACATACAGACCCTGTTTTCCCTTAGTCAGCCTTCAAGGGGTCCCGGTGGTACTGCCAGGTAAGACTGCTAAGGGCAAAGTCAATTCAAACCCATCAGATGCTCTGGGGGGAAAGGAGGTTTTCTGCTCCCAGCAAGTATTAGCCTCAGAAACCCTGTGTAGGGTGCCTTGGAGTGGGACTCCGGAGGGTCCTAAGCTGTCCTTGTAGTACAAGCCTGCCATACAGCAAAGCCCTTCCCCGAGCGGCTGGTGGTGGATGATGAGCCTGGTACGGAGAACCATCACTGAGGGGACAGAATCCCGGCTCTTTCCAGATGCTGCTGCTGGGGCTTGGGCTCTGATGCCCCCCAGGTAGCCCCGGAGCAATTGTTTTTTGGGTGCCAGGGATGGGCACAAGCTGGGATGCCTTGCTCCAACCAGCTGCTCTGTCTCCCCAGGACCTGAGTGAGGCCATGAACGTGGTGGAGCTGCAGCGGGAGCTGGCCCTGCAGGCCCTCAACAGCCAGCGGGAGGTGTTTCTCCTGGCGGCCAGCATTGCCCCCTCCGGGCCTGGCTTCAACGAGCCTGGCACTGTGCACATCTGGAAGCTGCTCCTGGAGCTCCTCTCCTAGGCGGGAGCCCCCTGCTTGCCACCCCACCCAGGACCTGGGCCTGTTGCTGCCCCTGCTGCTTTATGGTGGCCTGGGCCTGCAGTGGGACCAGGTGGCAGGGCCAAGAACCCTGTAGAAGCTGTCCAGGGGAGGCATCTGTAGGCTGAAGCAAGAGAGAGGTGGGTCTGAGCTGGGCAGATGCTCGGAGCTCCGCTTCTGCCTTGCTGCAGTCACGGTGAGGGGTCAGTACTCCGGGAGATGCCAGGCCTCCCAGTCTCCATGCTTCCCTCCTGGGCAGCAGCAGCCTTGAGCCCTGCCTCCCAGCCCCACAGGGTCCTCCAGCCCCAGCTCTGCCTGACTTGCCGTGGCCTTGGGCTGTCTCTGCCTCTGCTCCCCGGCGCGTCCTTTTTCAAGCTTTTCCCTGCCCTCCCACCCTGAGAGAAATGCTGTAACAGACCTGGAGATCCTAGCACACCGGCTTCTGACCTGCCAGCCTGCCCTCACTATGGAATGAGAGGAACTCAGCCACCAGTGAGCAAAACAAGGCCGTTGGTGGTTTCCCAAACCTGGGCGACACCGTGAGCACTCACGGTGCCCGTGCCTGTGCCTGTGTTTACCCAAGTCTGCAGAAGCGGGGAGAGAATGACTGCACTGTGGGAGCTGGGGTCTGCTTCATTTAATGTATGGACTTATTTATGAAAGGAACAGGGCAAAGTGCTAGGCTCTGCTCCGTGATGCTGTTGTCAAACCCCCAGGTGAGTGTCACAGGAAACATGGACGTGCCCGATAGGGAGATAGCACACTTCAAACTGACTCCATGTGCCCTGCTGTGAGGGGGTGCAGACCCCACCTGTGTAGACACAGTGACTGGGAGGGAGCCTTCCTGTCACAGGAATGAATACTGGGGCGAAAGAAAACCCTGGGCAGGGCTGGAATAGAGCAAGCCACGGCGGCCTGGAGGGCCTCACAGCCGTCGGGACCCATGTCTTCTCCAGCAGACAACTGGACAGTGGCCAGCTCCCTGAGGTTCAGAAGCCCCGTGACCCTCAGGCTGCTGGCTGGCACTTTAGTGCCAACAGAGGGGGGAGCCTTGCTGCTTGTCAGGACCCCTGAAGAGGAATCAATAGCGACACGAAGGCCTTGTTTTCTTAGCCCGCAGTTTGCGTTTGACTTGAGACGACTTGCCTGCCTTCGACCTGCACCCAGCAGCTTCGGTTCCATGGACAGCCAGCACAGAGAGGCGCCTGGGAAGTGGGGGGTGGGGGGGAACATTCCAGAAGTCAGCTGACAATCATTGTTGTCATTACAGAGATGAGCTATGGGCTGCCCTGGGTTATGAATGAGATCCAGTCCTGGTCCCACATGTCACTGAGTTTTGGAGATAGTGAGAACCGGTGCCTACAGTTCTTAACCAGCCTTACTGTGGTGTCGGAAATTAGCCCTGGGGGCATATTGGAGAAGCAAGCTTCAGGCTGTTCGCATCCAGAGACGGGTGGTGCGGTGGTTTTTCAATGAGCTGCCAGCCACAAGGTCAGCAGTTGCAAACCACCAGGCATTCCATGGGAGAACTCCCATGGAACACCCATAGAGTTGGCTCTTGGTTTGGAAACCTCCAGGAGAATATCTGCTCCATTCCATAGGGTCACTCTGAGTCAGAATTGACTCGATGGTAAGGGGTTTCTTTTGGTTTGGTTGAATGTAAGGTCAGCATTCCAAACCCACCAGTCATGCTGAGGAAGAGAGATGAGGTTATCTATCTGCCTAAGAACTTAGAACCTCAGAACTTTGTATAGGGGCCCCCAGAGTTGGAATGGAAAGTCCTCAAGAGGGAACCTGAGGGTAAAGAGTTAAGCCCTTTTTTCAGAGATGCTGCTGAGTTGTTTGGGTTCTGGAGGGTAAGTACCACAAACAGCACCAAAGGTCCCCAGGCCAAACTTCCCTGTGATAATGTAGGCTGCCTGCCTGTGGTTTCACCAGTGGCTGATGGCCGGTCAGCCAGCGACTCACGGGGCTGCTGGTACCCACCCCAGGCAGTCTGCCACATTGCCCCCTGCTCCAGGTGTCTTAGGGCACAAGGTGGGGAGGCAGAGGGCAGGGCTGACCCAAAGGACTTGGGGGAAGCTGGGACCCCGTCTTTTGTTATCTTGAAGAAGCTCTTGCTGCCTTTGGAATACCCACCTGATTCTAGAACCCAGATCACCCGCTCTCGGGAACCAGCATTCTTAGTGGAGATGCCTGTGAAGTTCTCCGTCTGCCTGCCAGCGGGTGGGCTGCTTGCTTGTTCAACTTGTGCCAATTACCCGGGCCTTGGGTGCAGGAGGGCTTTTGTTCTGAAGTACTGATGTGACACCCTGGCTCTGGATTTTGCAGTCTCTGACCTGTGTGGGCTCCCGCTCCCGCCCCCCAAGGAGGCCAACCTGGCTCGGGAAGCCGCCTCATTTCTGTCTGGCTAGAATCACAGGCTTTCCAACTTGTGCTCCAGCAGCAGTGTTCAGCTATGAAGAGGGAGGAGGCCGTCTCCCGGGCCCAGTGTTTCTCCCAACGCCAAGGTGAGCCTGGCAATGCCTGCTGTCTGCCTAAAGAAGTACCAAGTTCCCCACAACGTGGCTCCACTCGCCTCTGGAAGAAACTTCTGCCCAGGCCTAGTTGTGCCCCGACTGCAGACCTGAGGTATTGGCAGACAGACTTCTGCAGTTGGCTGCCTGCCTCACGGATCCCAAGTGGTTGTGATTAATCATAGTGCCCTTTCTAGTATCCTTGAGGACCTGCTACTTCTGGGAGGTGGGCCCGTTAGGGGACTGGAGGATTCCCACCAAAGATTCAAAAGTATGGGGGCTTGCTGGCTCGGCCCATCCCAAGGACCCAGACCACAGAAACATGGGAGTGTTTCTGGACATTTGAGGCACAAAATAAATGCCAAAGCTACTGCTCTGCTTTTGGTTTTGAGTAGCTGCAGCTATGGAATGTGCTAGAACATCTTTGGGAACACCTGTTGTGCACCAAAGCCCCAGGTCCCTGGCTGTTGGCTCTATCAGGGCAGGTTAATAAGGAACATCTGTTTAGGCCCTTGGGGTTGTCCACCTACCCATTCCTTGTAACTTATTTATGTTTGGGGGATGGGGTTAGAAATAAATCTGCCTCCACCCCAAAGGTCCGGATGGAGATCACAGAGCCACATGATCATTTACCCTGTGCACAGTTCCACCCAGGCTCCCTGGGTGAGGCCCTTGCCTTCAAGCAGTCTGTCACAGCTGCACAAGGCACAACAGCGTTGCTACAATAAACCCATGGGCAGAGGGGGTAAGCGGACACTTAAGGTACACAGCTTGGGGCAGGGATGCTTCTGGAAGCTGGCACCTGGCTTGTGTGAGGAAACCAAAGACCTGAAGGTTAGCCGAGGCGGAATTGGGATACCTGGAGAATGTGGAGACTACTGTGGGGTGGCTTCTGGCAGGGCTTCTGGCTCTTCCCAGTGCTGCCTGACAAGTGGGCGGTCTTCAAGGGAGGATGGCTAACAGGGCTTAAGCCTAACTGTTTCTTGTAAGCCGAGGGTAAAGGCAAGCACTACACAGGGTTTTACCTGGAAATACCTATGTAGAAGACCGAACCCAAAAGAGGTGTAGGGGCCTCAGGTCCCAATAGGCCTCAGCCACAAGAGCAGTGGCAGGGGACATGCGGTGGACAGGTTTCTGTGGAAAGCTTAGTGGAGAGGTGGTGCAGGAACCAGGGCAGACAGCAGAGGGAGCTAAGTCCAACAGCTGAAGGCTGCCTTGCCCTGAAGGCGCTGGTTTTCATAGAGGCACACTCGGGAGTGGGCTGGAGGAGCAAGCAGACCAGGAGTCAAACAGCCTTGTTTTATTACGTACACCAAGCAACCCTCCTACTCAAGAGAAGGTTCAGGCTTTCCCTCAGCCTCCGGAAGAATGTGAACAAGAGCCTCTGGAATGGGTCCTCCCAGGTGTGGGCTCCAGGAGGGTGGGCCAGTCTTGCCTGTCAATCAAAACCCCCTTCTGGCCCTAACCCTTGGCTGGCTCGAGCTGCTCTGGCCCAGGGGAGCCCTCCGATGGGGACAACTCCGTCACTCTACTTCCATCTGATTCTTCTGCAGAGAGTCCACGAAAGACTGCCACTCGGCAGGGTAAAAACGCTTGTAGACGTTGATCTTATTCCGAATCTGTTTTGGGGTATCTTGATAGTAATTCTTCTCATCCCGGGCCATGGCCTAAAAGAAAGAAGGCTCTTGAGGGCTTGATGGGAGCAATCAAATCTTAGCTCTGCCTCTGGGCAAACCACTTCTGGTCTCGGTTCATCTCCCTCCCTGCAAGCTCTGCAGTAGGAAACCCAGCTGCACTGAGGGCCGGAGGAAGAGCGTACAAGTGCCTGCAGGACCAGGCAGGAGCCTGCTAGAGGAGCTTCAGTTCCATTCAGTCAGCGGGCCCAGGGCCCCGTGGAGCTAGAGCTGCTGATTTCATACGAGAAATGCAAAATAGGGGCTTTCATGATTTCAGATCTCATAACCACTCAGTTTATGCCGACTCAGCTTTCTGTTAACACCAGGTCCCAGTCCATGGGATCTAGTTCCTTTCCTTCTACTTGGTCTCAGCACACAGGCGCTGGCAGGCGGCCCCTTCCCACGGGCTCCAGGCCAGGGCTACTCACCTTGTAGTCCTCTCCATGGTTCTCCACCATGTAGCGGACGTAGTCAACGAGGTCCCGTGACAGGGAATGGTCCTTCTTTTCGGGGAGGCTGGCTTCTGCCTCCAGCTCTGGGGTGAGAGAAGGTGGGAAACAGAATGAGGCTGTGAACGACCCGAGCTGCCCAGGCAGCCATTCGCCTCTGCCCTGAGCCACCAGCCACCTGCTCGCTTTGCTGCTCAATCCCAGACCCACTGTTAGAACCTTCTTCTCAGACTCTGCCTCCTGTGGCGCAGTCACCTGTGAGTGTGGTGCCAAGCTGAAAGCCAGCCCCCTCTCTCTGGGCCCAGGAAGGAGGGCCCCAAACTAATCCTCTCTTTAGTGTCACATCCTGGGGACAGATGAAAGTTAACGCTCCCAGCTCCCAGGGCAAAACTCTGGTTGAGAACTTCTTTGGTTCTCGCAGTCCCTGAATAACGGAGGAGAGCTGCAGGGGCCAAGGCTGCTTCCTGCTCCATGTAGGAAACGTCTGAGCCCTGGAGCCAGAGTACGGCGTCACTAAAAATAACCGGTGGGTTGGGGAAACCCCCCTCCACTTCGCAGCTATGAAAAGAGCGACCTCCTAGAACTATAATGAACCCTAAATCAGCCTGTCAACTCGCGCAGGAGCTCTGGTGGCATCGTGGCTACGAGCTGGTCCACAAGAGCTGCAGTTGGAAACCACCAGCCCCCCAAGGAGTCGGCTTTCTACAGCCGTTCAAAGTGACAGCCTCGGAAACGCACAGGGCAGGTGTGCCCTGGCCTACAGGCCGGCTAGCAGTCTGCATCGACTCGATGGCAGCAAGGTTTTTTGGTAAATCAGATCTTACTGGGGACAGGACTGGGTGTTAAACAACTCTAAGAGAGAAAATCACCCTGGAAAGCTGCTCCTTGGGAGCCAGAGGAGGGTGCTCCAGAAACCATGTAAAGGGTCACTGTGAGTCCCAATGCTCCAGATGCTAGCAGTCTGCATCGACTCAATGGCGGTGGATAATAAATAGGTTCCCTGGTGGCCCTGTGGGTTAAGCACTAGGCTACTAACCACAAGATTGGCAGTTCAAATCCACCAGGCCTTCCTCAGGGGCAAGATGAGGCTGCCTACTCCTATAAAACTTTAGTATTGAAAACCCTGGATAGGACTGCTGTGATTTAAAATTGACTCGATGGTACTGGATTTTGTATAAATGAGCATGGTTTTGTAGGTGTCATTGTATGCATAATCCTGTACAGTTTAATTCTGATGAGAACCACTTAGACGGACTAAAAATTGGAACAAGAGGGATTCAATATCATGTGCCTGGCCATTCAAATTATTTTGCCTTCAGAACCACTGAAAATCCCTGGCAAGAAACGAGGATAGAGAATTCCCGCTTCTCTGCAGGGCATACTTATGTCTTAGGACTCCTTTCCTACCCGCAGGCAACCAGCTACCTGGTCCCTGGACACCACTCTAACCTTAGTGTAAACGCCGCGGTTTAGTCAGGTGACTGGAAACATCCCCGCCAGGGATGTCGTTTGAACTCTGTGAGCTCATTGCACTAGCTCACTCCCCCCTTTGAAAGTTGGCTTTTCCACCTATAAGATGAGGGCATCGGAGGCCTCTTATGGCTCTGACAGTGCAGGACACTGGTCTAGAAAGGGATGTGGCCACACTCACCGTTCAACACATAGGGCTTCCGCACGAGCTCCTTCCTCCTCCCGCCATCCACCTCCATGGCATGCACCTGCACGGAAGAGAGCCCATGAGGAGACCAGCATACAGTGAGGAAAACAGAGCCTACCTTAGGTCGCAGGAATGCCATCTTCCTCTGGCAGGAAGGAATCAACCAGCCTAACAGCACTGAAACAAATGTATTCAGCAAGCCCATTCGTCAAGTCGCCTGCCTACTTATTAACTGAAAACGTATACGTCCTAAGCATCCCTTTGTGGCAGGGAATAAAACAAAGTCTTTGTCCTCCAAGACAGAGACTTAGGCAGGCAGGGAGGGGCAGACACAGGCAATATAGACCACTTGTAGTTATAAGTACAGGGAGTGGTGCTGTGGCTAAGGGCTTGGCTGCTAACCAAAAGGTCAGTGGTTCAAATTCACTAGCCATTCTGTGGGAGAAAGATGTGGCTGTCTACTTCCATATAAAAACTACAGCCTTGGGTCTGGGGTCTTAAAAGGCTTGAAGACAAACAAGAGGTCATTTTGCTGAGAAGCAACAAAGCACACCAGCCTGTGTGATCATGAGATGTCAGTGGGATCAGGTATCAGGCATCAAAGACCCAGAACAAAATAATACCCATTGTGAGTTGGCTGGGGTGGGGGAGGGCATGGAGTGTAGGGAGACCCAATGCCCATCTGTAGACAACTGGACATCCCCTTACAGAAGGGCTGAGGCCAGTCAGGGTGCAGTTTAGCACCGATGAAACATACAACTTTCCTCTAGTTCTTTAATACCCCCCCCCCCCCCCACTATCATGACCCCAATTCTACCTTACAAATCCGGCTAGATCAGAGCATGTACACTAGTACAGATAAGAACTGGAAACACAGGGAAGCCAGGACAGATAAACCCCTCGGGAACAGTAATGGGAATAGTGATACCAGGTGGGGGACAAAGGGGAAACCGATCACAAGGATCTACATATAACCCCCTCACTGGGGGACAGACAACAGAAAAGTGGGTGAAGGGAGACATCGGACAGTATAAGACATGAAAAAATAATCTATAAATTATCAAGGGTTCATGATAGAGGAGGTGGGAGGGGATAATGAGGAGCTGATACCAAAGGCTCTCAAGTCGGAAGACAATGCCTGAGGATGGCAACAGATGTACAAATGTGCTTGACACATGGATGAGTGTATGCTGAGAAGAGTTGTATCAACCCCCAGTAAGATGATTACAAAGACAAACTACAGCCTCGGGAAGCCTATAGGGCCGTGCTATGGGTCCGAATTGACTGGCTGGCACACAAGTTACCAGTGTTACGAATTAAAGCAAAAGCAGACGGGGCTGGCGCGTGAAGATGGGTGGTCACGAAAGTGCGGTCTTCAGAGGGCGCAGGCAAGCGACTCGCCTCAAAGTCTCAAGTCAAAGACGGGGCGGTGTACAATAAAGGTAGCAAGCGCTGGGGAGGAAACTTCCCTGTTAGAAAACTTAGGGGCACGATCCTGCCGGGCAAGTACCTTTCTTTTTCGGAGGGGCAGGACCTTGTTGGGGTCCATGGCCAGCCCCATCTCGGCCAGGTTCTGCCGCACCGATTTGGCGTGGTCCCAGGCATGTCGGATGTGAGAGCTGTGGACAGAGGGGCGAAGGTGGCGGGTCCGGCACCTCCCGTGCCGGTCCTGCCCGAGAACCCCGCCTCCCGCACCCTTACCAGCCCCCTTACCACTCAATCCGCGGCGCAGCCTTCCGCCGAGCATGCCGATTCATCCGCTTTCGGTTGACATTGTAACCGAACTTCTGCCTCCGCGTCTTACCCTTGGCCTTGGGCATCGCGGTGGTCACAGAACAGACTCAGGGTCTCTCACGAACAGAACCTCGTGGAACAGAGCCCTTCCGGTGGCCTTCAAGCTTATGGGAAATGTAGTCTTCGCGTAGCGACACCCCGTAAAGTACTACGATTCCCAGAATGCAGCGTGCGCCCGCACCGGCGTGTGCGTTCAGCAAGTGCGTTCCCCTGCTCGCCCTTTCCTGACGTCATCAGGGGGCGGGGCCCAGCGTCCCTGTTTTCTTCGGCAGCGGCTTGCCGTGACATGGCGGCTTCAGGTCCCGTAACTCCCGAGCCCCCCTTTGACCCCGCGCGGCCCCCGGTCATCGAAGGGTTTAGCCCTACGCTCTACGGGGACACGGAAGGCTTCAAGGAAAAGTTCCTTCGCAAGACCCGCGAGAACCCCATGGTGCCTATAGGTAAGCGAGTGCGCTAGGAACTTTAGAGCGAGGTCACTGGTGTGGAGGGGACGGGCGAGGGGAGGACCGAACGGAACGCGCGGACGGCGGCGTGGCGACGGGGCGGGGCGGCCAGCGGGCACCGACGCTGCGGCGGGTGTTGGGGAACTCGGCGGGAGGCCAGGCGGGTGGGCTCGGGCGGGGCCGGCTCTGGGGTGCGGAGGACCCCCTTCTGGCACCTATAGTGGAGAAACTCCCTGAGAAGGAAGCCCTTCTCGGCGGGGAGGCACCTCCCGGATGGGTGCTACCCCAGCCTAGCCACTTGGTCCCCTCCGCAGGCTGCCTGGGCACGGCTGCTGCCCTCTCCTACGGACTCTACTGCTTCCACCGGGGCCAGAGCCAGCGCTCGCAGCTCATGATGCGCACTCGGATCGTGGCTCAGGGCTTCACGGTCGCAGCCATCTTGATGGGCCTGGCCGCCTCCGCAATGAAAGCCCGACAGTGAGCCTCCAGCCCGGGCTTCGGAAGTGCTGGGGCCCCAGCTCCACGAGCCACCACCGATCACGCCAAGGGACTTAGCTTTGTGTCTCCATTTTGAGGGTGAGGGAAGTGGCGGCTGACTGCCAAACCAGATTTTTATTTTACTTTCCCCCCTTCAGGAATCCCAGATTCAGTTCAGTCAGGGTGCCGTACCACCCGCCACTTCGTGCTTAATAAACGCTGGTCCACTTGTAGTTTGTTGCTGTCGTTCGCAGTCGCACTCCCATGGTTTGGACAGTCTCTGACTGGTGGGATCCTGAGAAACCATCCAGGAACAGTGACATCTGGCGCTTGCTAATAGTGGAGGTGCCCAGGGCCTTTTCCTCGAGATAGTAATTTACAGGGTCTAGAGCGATGCTTATGACTTAGTAGTTTGAGAAAATTAACCTGGTCAGTACTTTGCAAGCTCTCGGTAGAAAAACCTTCCTTCAGAAGAGGCTGTCAGGAGCTGCTGTAGCCTTGTGATAGGCAGGAACACCACCACCCCTACCCCCACTCCCACCTCCTGAGAGCCCCTGTGCTCGAAGCATCTTACAGAGCAGAACCCCGACTCAGAGAAACAACCTAGTGTAATGGAAAGGTTTATATATGTGGGGTTTCAGGGGTATGGAAGAAAAGCGACCAGGAAATCTGAAGAGAGGTAACTCATGTGCTGTGTGGTAGATTACTGTAATATGGCCCTCCTTGGAATGGACTGGCTGGAGTGGTTTGGGCACGATCTTTTGACTCCACAAAATGATCAGGTGGGACTCTGTAAACAGGGTGATGTAGTGGGTTACAGGTTGGGTTGCTGACCTGAGGTCAGCAGGTCAAACAAATCCAGCAGCCACTCTACAGGCGAAAGATAAGGCTTTCTGCTCCCATAAAGACTTACAGTCTCTCAAACCCACAGGGACCGTTCGACTCTCCGACAGGACTGCAGTGGGTAAGTCTGCACAAGACCACTTTAAAGTGTTGAAAAGCAAGGGGGTTACTTTGAGGTCTAAGGCGTGCCAGACCCAGGCCGTAATATCTTCAGTTGCCTCATGTGCATGTGGAAACTGAACATGGAATAAGGTAGACCAGAGAAGAATTGATGCATTTGAATTATAGTGCCGGTACCATGCACTGCCAAAAGGACAAACAGCTGCCTTGAATAGGACAGCCAGGATTCTACTTAGAAGCAAGGATGGGAAGACTTTGCCTCACACATTTGGGGCATTTTGTCAGGAGAGACCAGTCCCTGGAGGTCAACATGCTTGGTAAAGTAGAGGGGGCGTGAAAAAGAGGAAGTCCCACAATAAGATCAGTGGACACAGTGGCTGCACAACTTGGTTCAAGCACGGGAACAATTGTGAGGATGGCGCACAGCTGGTCAGTGTTCTGTTCTGCATGGGGTCTCGAGTCAGAACTAACTGTGTGGCACCTGAATGACTGTGGTGACCTCTGGCCCCAAACACAAGGAGATGGTCCTCTAAAGAGGATGACCACTGTTCATCTGGCTGAGTACCGCACAGAAATGTACACCACTAACGCTGGACTTTGTGACTTTCCAAGCCAGAAATGCAGGGTGTTTTTTTTTTGAGAGAGTGTGAATTAGTACCATTTTAAGTGTTTGCAATTATTTTAAATCTTGGAAAAAACCCTGTCAGCCATCCTGGTTTGGATGTAAAGTATATGGAATCCCTGCTGAAGAGGAAGATGGTGTGGTCCCTGGTGATTCAAAGCAGAACCACAGAAGGACACAGCTGGAGGAGGTGAAATGTGCAGAGCACATCCGGAGGGTTCTACCAGTGCCTCCAGGCCTCCTCTCAAAAACTGCTTTGAGGGATAAGGTCTGGCGAGGCTGCCTTCTCCAGCCTTTCAACCAGGCGTGCTTCTTTCCTCCCACGTTGAGTCATTTACCTTCCGGGACGGGGTGTCCTGGCTCTGTAACAGAGCTCCTGCCTCACAGGCTGGTCATAGGACAGAGGGCTGTGAGCACTGGGTTAGATGGGTGGGGGCAGTAGGTAGAGGTAGGTTGAGACCACACTTGTGGCTGGAAGCTCCTGGGTTTCCAGGGGAACATCCTGGCCTCCCCAGACCCCAAGCTGGGATTGTTCCGAGCACAAACTGAACCCTGACACCAGGTGTGGCTTCCAGAGAAATGAGAATGATAATAAAGTGTAAAAAGAGTTAACAACACACCTCTTTAAGCCAAGAAAAAAATACATCAGGAGAGACAGTCACAACTGAGTGGACTGAGGAGGAGGCATGAGGGGCTGGGCCGTCATGCCAGGAGGGGATGAGGGCGATGGGGTGAGGGGTCCCCTTCACCCCCCAGGGTGTGGGGACGAAAGGAATAGGCTGTGTATAGCAGTGGCTGAGGGAGTGGCCCCCAGCCCCCTGCGGAACCAGCAGCCCCTCTGCTACCCCAGCCCTGTCCCAGCGTGCTGGCCATGCTGCAGGCAGGCACCTAGCGGGACAGCGGCGTCTGCTTCAGGGACATGAGCACCGAGCGCAGGCGGGACACGTCTTTGCACTGCTTGCTGCTCTTGGGGTTGAAATCACACAGCTGGGCCACCTTCTCCCACTCCGTGCCTGGAGTCTCTTCCTTGGATTCCTTCACAAAAGCCTCCTCAGACGCCCTGCAGATCGAGACAGGACAGAGAGGGTCAGAGAGGCTCTGCTCACCCAGCAAGGCTGTTTTGTCTAAAAGGGTCCTCCCCAACCCTGTGTCCTCTTACTTCAACCCCTCTGTGAGCAGCCTAGGCATCAAAGGAAGCCCAGCTCGGTCCTGCCTCAGGGCTTTTGAACTTGCTGTCCTCTACTGGAGCGGTCCCCTCACTCCACTCACCCCCTCCCACCCAACAACTTTAAGGCTTGCTGCTTATCTCTCAGGTCTCCTCACAAGCCTCCCCCACCCCGATCTTCCCATGTCACCCCTTGCCCCCACCCCACGCCCCACTTCTGGTCCTTAGCACTCCAGAAGGAGTTCACCACTTGAGCTTCTAGACACCAAAGGCCCTTGGAGAACTTCAGCAGTGGCACCTCGGCTCTTTCAGACATTTCTAGAGGACTGGCAGGGTGGGTGCCGGGATGCTGGCGGCCACCTAACTAAAGCCTGGGGTGCGTTCTGCTGGTCTTGGCGTTTGTTGGAATCAAGTCAGGGTGAGACAGATGGTTTCGTCATCAGAAGTTCAGCCTGACTGCTACAGAAGTCACTGGTCATGGAGCAGTGGCAAAGCCAAGTAGGGTCAATGCGGTTTAGTGAACAAAATCGCCATGGGAGTGGTTAAGGGAAAGAGTAATGGATTCTTGGGTGGGGAGGGTTCGGTCTGTGTCCTGTTTGGGCAACAGGGTCCCTTGAACTGGTTCTGTTCAAGCAGAACTAGTTCTGCCATATCCCAGCCACTGGTAATGATGGGGAGCCCACAGGGACTGTACAGAAGATGGGCCGGGCCCAGCGCTAGTAGCCTGGCACCTCCCTTGGGATTATGCTGTGTGCTCATTCCCAGACTGAGCTAGAAACAGAGCCTCCTCCCTGCGGGTCTGTCTCAGGGCAGGGCGGCCTGGGAACTCTGCAGTGCTGTGGGAGGCTCTCTTCTTCCTCACATGGCACCGAGACCACCATCGGCAGAACTGGTTAGAAATGCAGACTGGATTCCACCCGAGAAGCTGCCTTTGAGCCAGATCCCAGACATAGTACAGCACTGCTCTCAACTTCCCCTTGCCAGGGCCCTAGAGCTCCCTGAGTCATGTCCTCAAGCATGACAGAAGCACTTAACACACACATCCCCAATAGCGCTCCCTAGCACAGGTGCCCACCTGCCACCACTCCCTGCTGGAACCTCCCACTGCCTTCAAGATCAAGCTCAGCCTGGCATTCCAGGCGCTTCACACCTGCCACCTCCCAGCCTCAGCTCTTCAGCCTCTGCAGGCAACTAGGTACTTCCTGACTGCCTTTGCCTCGGCTGCGGCTTCCACCTGGAGTGCTGGTCTCTTCCCACCCTGACCACCACGGAGGGGCCTTCTCACCTTCTCACATTTGAAGGTCAAGCCCAAGGTCCTACAAACCTAACCAGGCTGGGCTCCCCAGCAGAGGAAGAATCCCAGAGCATGGAGTGGGGAGGGGGTTGGGTAGCCACTAGGAGGCATGGGACAGGTGGGAGGAAAGAAGGAAGGCCATTGTCCTGGTGTGCTCAGGGACTGCTGAGGACTTGCTGAGCAACAACAGACAGGGCCGAGTATCAGCACAAGCACATTGTCACCATGACTCTAAGCACACAGCATTCCTCCTCCAGCATAAAGCTTCCACACACCAACCTGCCACCAGGCTGTCACCGCCAGGTGGCTGGGGTTAGCACAAGATAAAGCCTGCTTGACACCCGTCTAGATGGTTACAGTACCAACTAGAGTCCGAACCAGAAATGCCAGTAGGGCCTGTGGTGGTCACAGAAAGGCTGTGGCCACACTCAAGGCAAAGTTGTTTAAATTGAATCCTCCTGATGCCAGTGGGAGCCCAAGATTCATTGTGGAACTCCCTAGGAAATAAGCCTCCGGAGAACTCCCCCTTCTAAATGTGAGGGATGGGAGCAAAATGGTGACTAAACAGAATGCTTGGGACAGAGATGTGATCAAAGGTATAAATCTGACCTGAACAGTCAACACTTTGTCAGACCCGCCCACCCTGCCCCCCAACCATGATGCAGGCAGGACCTGATCTGCTTTCCCAAATGTTCTGTGTTTTGGGTTTGTATTGTTTTCTTTGGTTTCTGTTTGTTCATACTGGAGCGTATCTCAGAGGTGTTATGTCAATGGAGGTCACCCTCTTGAAGCTGTGTTAAATGCTTCTCCGATTTTCAGTACATGGAACCCAGGAAGGATGGACTACAGGGACAGCAAGTAGAATAAGGGTCCCGGGGGAGGTGCCAATGTGGTGGTTGTGGGCAAAAGGGAGATGATGTCAAGGAGTCCGTGTAGAAAAAGAAATTTTGGAAACGAGTAGCAATTGTACAATTCTACTTGACATGATTGGAATATGGAATGACAAACGTATTAAATCCCAACTAATAATAAATAAATAAATAAGTTAATTAATTGAGTCCTCCCAGGTGAGGGAGTTGCCATTATTATTTCCAGGTGATAAATTGAGGACAGATTAGTCACACAGCTAGACAACAGAGAGAGGCTAGGACTTGGACCTAAGGTAATCTGCAGATCCATTCTGAGGGGAAAAAGTATCCTTCAGGGCAGGGCATGCCTGTGCATACAAGATCCACTCTCACATTCCAGGTAGACTGCATGATAACATTTTGTAAGACCTGTGACCTATTCACTGGATATAGCTTTTGCTCAACAACATAAATGGAAGACTTTACACGTAGACCTTGACGGATGGACTACACAAGACTCAGATCACTGCATCTGTGAAGAGAGATGGAGACGCTCACTCTCAGTCAGAACAAGGCCAGGGGCCAACTGTGGGGCAGACCATCAATTGCTCATATGCAAGTTCAACTTGAAGCTGAAGAAAGGGAAACAAGAGCCAGAGTATAACTTTGACTATCCCACACCTGCATTTAGAGACCGTTTCAAGAACAGGTTTGACCCACTGACCACTAATGATCGAAGACCACACGAGTTCTGGGATGTTGTTAGGAAAAGCATACATGAAAGAAGCAAAAGGTCATTAAAAATGGGGTGGGGAGACCAAAATGGATGTCAGAAGAGACTCTGAAACTTGCACTTGAGCACAGTATGGATAAAGTGAATGAAAAACATGATGGAGTGAAAGAATTGGACAGAGGTTTTCAAAGGGTGGCTTGAGAAGACAGAGTCTTATAATGAGATGTGCAAAGACCTGGAGCTGGAAAGCCAAAGGGGGAGAACGCATTCAGTATCTCAGCACTGCTGAGAGAAATGAAGAAGAAACTTAAGCGTTGAGTTGAAATATTGAAGGATTCTAGAGCCAAACTGAGACCTGGTGGTGTAGTGATTACGCATTGGGCTGCAATCGGCAAGGTCATCAGTTCAAAGCCACCAGGTGCTCCTTGGGAGAAAAATGGGGCCTTCTCCTCCCATAAAGAGTTGCAGTCTCAGAGACTCACAGGGCAATTCTACTCTGACCTAAAGGGTCACTATGAGTCAGCATTGACTCTATGGCAGTAGGTTTGGTTTGAGGGTCAAACTCTTGACGTCAGCAGGCCTCAAGGGAAGAGGGAAAGCGTCACTGTACAAAAAATGAATTGATTGAGGTCCAGCCATTTTAGGAGACAGCATGTGATCAAGAAGAGTCTGTGCCCACACTGCATTGAAAGCATGAGAAAAATACAGCTCCAGGAATTGACAGACGACCAACTGATAATGTTTCAACCATGTTCAACAAACAGGCAATGCTGGAAGCCGTCTATGCCAAGAAATTTGGAGCACAGCCACCAGGTAGCTGTGGTCAACCAACTGGAAGAGATTCATCTCTGTGCCTGTTCCAAGGAGAGGTGACCTAACAACAGTGTGTGGAAATTTTAGAAGAATGTCTTTGATATTACACTCAAGCAAAATTTTGCTGAAGATGATTTTAAATTACTTGTAGCAGTACATTAACTGGACACTGCCATAAATTCAAGTTGGATTCAGGAGAGGACATGGAATTAGGGATATCACTGCTGATGTCAGAGAATACTAGAAAGATATTTACCTGTGTTTTAATGACTATGCAATGGCATTGGGCTGTGTGGAACACTGTGCTTCAGGAGCCCTGGTGGCATGGTGGTTATGAGTTGAGCTGCTAATCACAAGGTCAGCTGTTCAAAGCCACCAGCTGCTCCACAGGAGAAAGACACGGTTTTCTACTTCCGTAAAGAGTTACAGTCTCAGAAACCCACAGGGCAGTGTCCTATAGGGTCACGAAGAGTTGGAATCAACTTGATGGCAGTCAGCTCAGTTTGGGTTATTTGTGTTCATGCGGAAACTAACTGCACATAGACCAAGAAGTAGCCGTGAAAATAGAGCAAGAGGATAATGAATGGTGTAAAACCAGGAAAAGCGGGTGTCAGGGTTGTGTGCTTTTGCCATACTTATTCAATCTGCATGCTGAGCAGATAGTCTGAGAAACCGGGCTATATGAAGAAAGAGCATCAGGACTGGAGGAAGAGTCATTAGTAACCTGTGTGTGGAAAGGGAAGAGGACTCGAAGCACTTACTGATGAAGATCAAAGACTACATACAGTCTTCAGTTTGAGTTATATGTCAGTATTAAAAAAAAATCCTCACAACTGGACCAAGATCAGACCAAAAGCCAACTCACTGCCATTGCATCAAGGTCAACTCATAGCGACCCGATAGGGCAGGATCGAACTGTGCCTGGGTTACCAAGACAAAATCACGATAAGTGGGCAAAAAAAAAAACGCTATCAAAGATTTCAATGCTCTGGAGGCAACAGTCAATAAATCAAGTGGCAGATTGCACTGGCAGATCCACTGCACAAGACCTACGTAAAGTGGTTTTGTTGTTTCTCAAAAACCAAAGCTGTCACCTGGAGGACTAAGGTATGCCTGACCCCAGGTACCATGTTTTCACTCACCTCATCTGTGTGCGAGAGCTAGACAGTGACTGAGGAAGAACCAGGAACTGGTGCCTTTGGATGATGGTAGTGGCACAACCTAGTGACTGCCCTCTGGACTGCGAGACGAATGAAGAAGACTGTTTTGGAGGAAGTCCAACCAGAATGGTCTTCAGGAAGGATGGGGAGAGTCCCTGTATTACTTTGTACACCCTATCATAAGGGACCAGGCCCTGGAGAAGGACAGCATGCTTGGAAAATTCGAGGGGCAGCTAAAGAGGAAGACCCTCGCCAAGACAGATGGAGGCGGCGGCTACAACAATGGGCCCTAGCACAGCAATGATCGTGAGGGTGCACAGGACCGGCAGTGTTTTGCTCTGGTGTACACTGTGTCACTACGAGTCAGAACCCACGCAAAGGCACCTCACAACAGCAGCAACTTATTTTTTGCCTCTTGCCCCTCCCAGTTCACATGTCTTTCCCCTGCTCACCCTCTGGGCTCTGATTTAGCAAAGCCGACTTCAGGCACTGGATGCTCAATACACGTGTGCTGGAGGGATGCAGGTGGGAGCTGCTAGTGCCTGCACCCGCCCTGGGCTTCCCTGCCTGCTGGGATCATTGTCCCAAGCCCAGCCATACTCCCTTGAAAAGTAGGAGATTCAAGAAATCATGCCAGCTCTACCCTGGGCCCCCCCCACACACACACACCCTGCAGCTCCCCCCGCAGGGGAGCAAAGGAGACACATACACGTAACCGATGATGTCAGCATCTGGCTGCTGGTAGAAGGCTTTGTCAGCGATCCTGGGGGGAGTTGGGGGAGGGGTTAGATGGCGGGGGTGGGGAGGACAGGAAGGCAAGATGGACAGGCAGGCAGGCGGTTAAAGAGAAAGAGAGACAGCATTAGTTCCTCCAGTGGGAGAGGTGTTAGAAAGCTGGGCTTCGGCAAGCTCAGGAACTAACTAGCCACCACCCCGGCCTTTTAGAAAACAGCCCTAATCACATCACTCCTGTTCATAAGCTTCCAGGGCTCCCGCTGCCCCTGTCCCTCCTCATTCCCCAGGGTCAAGGCCCTCCATTGTGCGATGCCCACGTCCTGCCCCTCTCCCCCACTCAATGCACTCTGCCGACTGTTGCCCAAACACCAAACCTTTCTTCTGTGGCACGCTGGTCTGCAGTGCCCTCCTCCACCCGCTGCCCTTTTTGTTTTCCTGATGAGCTCGTCCTTGTCCAAACCCACACTCTGGGGCGGTCCCGGAGCCCAGCCGCCCACGTGCATCACCCTCAGCTGCATCTCTCAGTGCCACCCAGGCGTGCAGCACTTCCAGCGTGGATGGTTGGTCCTGTGGGGGGCACAGCCTCGAAGATGGCATTCAGTGCAGGACCCTCTCCAGGGTGGTGTTTTGTGATGGGCTTCTGTTCTCTGCCTACCAGCCTCCATCCCTTCTCCAGGTTGGGTACCCTGACTGTCCTGTGCAGAATCCACCTGTCCCTCGTGAGACACAGCCTGGGGAATAGGACTCTCACCAAAGAGCCCCTCCGGCTATGGTCACAGCCCGGGCTAGGCAGGCCCATGGGGTCAGGTGAGAAAAGATACTGTTTTCACTGGTGTCTAAGAGGATGGGGCAGAAGCCTGGAGCCCGGCGGCGGGGCCCTCTCACCGGTTGTTGATCTTGTTCTTCTCCACTTGCTCGCTCTGGCGCTGGTTCCACTCTTCCAGGTCCTTTTTCGCCTTCTCCCGCCACTCTTGTTCCGTCACCTTGGAGGCAGCATCTGTGGCCCCAGCAGGAGAATGAGTGGCAGCCCTGCCCCCGTGGCCCCTGTCCAGTACCCATAGTGAGGGTGGAGGGGCTCCCCAACACCCCCGCCGCCCTCACCCAGCTCCTGCAGCCGTATCTTCTGCTCCTCTCTCCACTTGCGGATGCTCTCGGGCTCCTGCGTCAGCCGGTCGGCCTGGGCGATGGCAGCGTAGCCGTCTGCAGGCCCGTTGGCCTCCTGAGACAAAATCACAAAGCTAAACCAGTGTACACCTGCCTGCTGTCTCTGCTTCTCCCTGAGTGGTAACGGGGGTACCAGCTGCTCCCCACCCCCAGACAGCTCTCAGCACCTCACACCCACTGCGCCAGTGTACCGGCTGCAACACTCCTCCTGCTGTGTGACCTCTATGCCTCACATCCTCATAAAAGAGGGAGACAGAGGAGGCTTTCTGCTCCTGTGGAGAGTTACCATCTCGGAAATTCACAGGGGCATTTGTACCCTGACTTGTAGGGTCGATGGCAGTGAGTTTGTCTTTTGCTTTTACCCCATAGGACTGACTGAATCAGAATATATATAATGACTTTAGCACACTTCTTGGCACACAGTGTTACGATCATTAAAGCCACTCCTTATGACAGTTATAGTGCATTTTATTACAGTTTGATTTACTCCATGACACTTGTCATGGTCTGAAATGATCTCACTGTTAATGTGTTTTTGTCTATTGTCCCCTTTGTGGCAACAGGGAACTTGTGTGTCCTGTTCATTGCTGTGTCCCCAGCACCCAGAACAGCACCTGGTGCAAAGTAATGCTCAATGTATCTGTTGCATGGGTGGAAAATCAGCCCGAGCTGAGCAGCTGATCCCAGCCGAGGGCCACGCAGTGATGAAGAGCCTGGGCCGGCCTGCATTCATGTCCCGGCTCTGCCCCCAGTAGGAGTGTGGGTGGCCTGGGGCAAGTTGCTTAGCCTTGTACCTCCATTGTCTCCTCTGAAAATGAAGGTGATCATGAAACCTGCCTCTGAGAGCCCTAGTGCGGAGAGAGTGCGTGTGCGAGTGAGTGCGTGCATGTGTAAGAGGTGTACGACAATCACAACACAGAAGAACCTTGAAGATCTTGTGCTGAGTGAAATAAGGTAGTCCCAACAGGACAAACACTGCATGATCTCACTTACATGAAATTAGCAAATATATACCCCAACTCCACTGCCATGGAGTTGATGCTGACTCATAGGCCTTCTGCGACTGTAAATCTTTATGGTTGCAGATAGCATGATCTTTCTCCCTCAGATAGGCTGGTGGATTTGAACCACGAATCTTGTAGTTAAGCTGTCCAAGCCTAGCCCATCGTGACACTTGTAGTAGTAGTTAGATACTTTCATATAAACTTGAAGATGTATAAACGTGCAGGAGTCGTATCCAACCTGTCAGTCAGGTCTAATAGTGCCAACTTGTAGGCATGGCCTTCTCATAAAGAGAGTCCCGAGAACCTCCCCCTCTCTCTTTGCCTTCACTCTCCTGCTTGCTGACCACCTGGAGAGCTGCCGGACCCCTGCCATGTTTCCATCAACCTTGGATCCACAGGACTTTGCACCCACCGGCCTGTGGTTTCCTGCATTCTGCATCATTGCATGTGGCTGCGTGAGTCTGAAGAGGGGCTTACGGACTAGTATTGGACTTATGGAGTTGACTTGGACTGGGCTGGGATGTTTGCTTGATATAGAATTATTTCTTATATAAAGTTCTTTCTTACACATGTGAGTGTCATTGGATTTATTTCTGTAGTCAACCTGGCTTAGTACAACACCAGTGCTCCTTAAGCAAAAATGTAACCATCTCACATCAACTCGATTCCAACTCACAGCGACCCTATAGGGAAGAGTAGAACTGCCCTTTCGGTTTCTGAGTCTAAATCTTTACAGGGGCAGAAAGCCGCATCTCCGTCCCAAGGAGCCGATGGTGGTTTCCAGCTGTTGACCCTGAGGTTCGCAGGCCAACATGTAGGTTGCCAAGTCTGTAAATCTATCTATGCCACCGGGGCTTCTTTAAGCAACTACATAGAAGCCCAAATGCTCTGATGGCTACAGGGGTGGGAGGAGGAGGGAGAAGCAGGGAATGTGCTTGAAGAGTGCTGAATCTGGGGTAAGTCAAGTGGAATGATTGGGAAAGGACTGTGATAATGGTGGCACTGCTTGGAGAATGTCACCACGGTCACTGACTTGCACTTACAGACATTGTTGAGTTCCAGTGCATTTTCACCACAAGCTTCAAAGAAACAGTCCACTAGGAGGAACATAGCTACATTTGCCATGCCGACTGTCTTCCCACAGCAGCTCCCCTCACTGCCAAGTCTATGTCAGCTCATAGCTCAGAGCTATGACCCTAGTGGACAGAGTAGAATTGCCCCTATGTATTTCTGAGCGTCTACTCTTTATGGGGGTAGAAAGCCCTGTCTTTCTCCCATGAAGCGGCTAATGGCTTCGAACTGCTGACCTTTCAGATTGCTGCCCAACTTGTAACCAGAGCTCCACAACAGCTTAATGGCATTAATTATTTTCATCAGGCTCAACTGATCACCCTTATCAGTCCCCAACTTTTCCATCACATTGTTACAATTTGAAAAAGTGATATTTGTAAAACATTTGGAACAATGGATGTTGGATAGAATTATTACTATTATCATTTATTCCCTTCTCACAGGGGAGGAGCCTGAGGCCAAAAGAGATGGCGCTCCTCATGCAGTAGCTGAGCCAGGGCCAGTGACCAGCCTGCTGACTGCCAGGCCAGGCTCTGCCCACTTCTCCACTCACCTGCCTCAGTGGGTCTCCCAGGGCTGCGGTTTGTTCTTTCCTGAACCTACCCCTGTAGGAGATCCCTCCCCCACCCTGGCCCTCTGGCATTCCTCTCTGCACACATCCCCTGCACCCCACAGCCACAGCCTCTGTTTCCCCAAAGCTCACTGCCTGGAATGGCTTCCCCTGCCTTCACTGGCTGGTGAAAGTATATTCAGCTCAACTCCCCCCCTCCATATCACCCCAAACAGCTCTACTCCCGCAGACACCACAAGACGAGGGAGAACTGTGCCTGTGGGTTTCCAAGACTAACTCTTCATCAGAGGAGAAGCCTCCTCTTTCGTCCTGAGTAAACTGACCTGTGGTGAGCAGCCCAGTGAGGAACCGCTACACCACCAGGGCGCCCTCAGCCACAGCCCTGCCCGTCTTCCTCCACCGAGCCCTGATCAGCAGGGTCTGAAAACCAGTGGTTGTTCTCATTCCGGGTGCCATGTGCAGAGTCAGAACTCTGCTCTGCAAGGCTTTCATTGGTTGGTTTCTTTGAAGTAAATCACCAGGTCTTTATTCTGCACTGCCTTTGAATGACATCAGTGAGCAGCCAAATACATGAACTGTCTGCACCACCCAGGGACCCTGGCAGGCAGGGCAGGCCCTTGTTTATATTCCCCACAGTCCCTAGCCACTCTTCCAGAGCTCTGTCCCCCATCTTCAAGCACTTAGTCAAGCCGCTGTGATTACCAACGATAGTCAGTGTCTTTCCACGATGGGACAGTGTCTAGAGTTTCCGGGTCTGAACTAGTACTCAGAGACCCTTGGCTCAGAGCTCTCAGTTGAAACGTTAGGGCGCAGTCTCCAGCTTTCTGGAGTGGGGAGGCGTGGTGAGCCAGGGCAGGGCTGCCACCGTGGGACCTCGGAGCAGGGCCCACCCTTGGGCAAGGCAGCTGCATTAACTGTTCTTCCTTGAACTGCACTGCAGTTTAGAGTGGCCTTTCAGACGCATGATCTGGAGGGCAGAAGTAGAGAGCTCATTGTTGGGGGAGCCCCACCCTGTTTCCTTCTGGAAGCGGTCCATCTCTGAGGTCAGGCTACCAACGACTCCCCACCCCTCCCTACATACACAACCTGGCTCTTCCCGGTCTGACAGAACCTCCTGCCCAACCCTCCCTGTGTCCATCTCCATGTGGTCAGCAGCAGGCAGGGCGCTCCACAGGGCTCGGCAGACAGGGACAGCTCTGGGGATTCAGGGAGGCCGGCTGCTGTGACCCCACCACCGTCTCTGAGAGGCCTGAGGGACACTCAGGGCAGAGTGGTGGGAAACCCACCAGTGGGCCCAGGCCTGTGGCTCATCCCTGCCTTCAGGTGAACTTTTCAGCTCACATGATGCCAGTGACTGGTCCTTGGTCCAGCACCAATTCCTCTCCGCCGAGTTTCTCTCTAGTGCCAGGTGTGACAAGGGCTCCTGGAAACCTTCCGCTGGGGCCCCTCCCTCAGGAGCCCAGGGGCCAGGCTACTAACCACAAGGTCGGTGGGCAAGAAAGATGAGGCTGTCTGTGTGCTCCTGTAAAAACTTAGTCTCAGGAACCTTTTCCCCCGAAGAGGGTTCGGTGGGCTCAGACCACCGGCTTTGTAGTTAGGCAGCCCAGGCCCCAGTCGTTTCTTCATGGGCAGCCAATGGTGGGGAGCCCTGGCCTAAAGGCAAACTCAGCAGACCTGTGATGAGTAAAAGACGCCCAGAGTACACACTCCACGGGTCCACTTAGCTGAAGGTCAAGACCAGGCCCAAGAAGACCACCGAGATCAAAATCGAGGTGAAGGTCTGGAAGGGGCCCCGGCCAGTGGGCGGTGGGAAGTTCAGGCTCCTCGGTTGCCAGCACTGTGGGCTAGCTGCCATCCAGGCCATGCCAACTCTTCCGAGAACCGGCCTCCACAGCCGTGTCAGGGACTGATCTTCCAGAAGCAGGAACAGCCAAGAGTTCGGTTGGCATAGTTGGTCACCCGTTGCACTGCCAACCACAAACACCAGCCAGCCCCGGGGAGAAAGTTGGGAGTGTCAGTTCCCATAAGATCTCTGGTTTCAGAAACCCACAGAGGCAGCAGCTCAACTCCGTGAGTCTGAATTGACTTAATGGCAGTGGGTTTGGTTGGGGTGGCATAGTGATTACCCATTGGGCTGCTAACCGCCAGGGCAGCAGTTCAAAACCACCAGCTGCTCCTGAGAACAAAGATGGAGCTTTCTACTCCTGTAAACAGTCTCAGAAACCCACAGGAACAGTTGTACCCCATCCTATGGGGTCACTGTGAGTCGACATCCACTGGGTGGCAATGAGTGGGTGTTTTTGTTTGCTTGTTTGTTCTTCTGCGGTGCCTCTGAATGGACTTGAACTTTCAACCTCTGGGCTAGTGGCCAACTGTTGTTAACTGTTTGCACCACCCGTCGACTCCTAC